CAAGGAAACCAAAAGGAAGCCCAGAAGAAAGCCAAAGCCAGCAGAAAGGAGGCCAAACAGATTCAAAGAGGAGCACACAAGAAGCCAACAGAAAGGAACCAAGCGGGGGGGGAAAAAAAGAAAGAAAAAAAACGCACCCAAATCAAAGAGACCCACCTCCCTTGCTGCCTTTATTCCCTCGGGTCCCGCGCCCAGCATGCGCAGCTCGGCACGTCCAGGCCTCCTGCCAGCTTTCCCAGATTCTTCCAACCCCCCCGCCGGGAAAGCTCAAAGCCATCTGCCCCTGGAAAGAAACGTGTTGAAACAAGAAAGAACCTGTTGCAAAAGCTGCGTTGAGCTGGGTCGCGAATGACACGTGCTTGAACTTGACTGGGGCCGCTTTCCGAGGACCGCTGTGATCTGTGCTCCGCTGTTCTGCTTCTGCCAGTGGGCTGGGATAGGTTGACGATGCTGCATGCAAATGGCCACATGCCTCAACACAATTATCCTATACAAACTTGACATGCACTATCGTGCATCTTGAATATCATGTGGCATTTTGGATTTGAGATGAACATAAGGATGTAAAGGCAGTCTGTCAATCAGTCCATCATGCTCGGCGGACACCAACACTGCTGAACACATGGTTCAAACCCTTACTCTACAATGCCAAATAATTCAACAAACTGATTGACATGCGTTGACAAACTGTTATTCCATCGCCTCTGCCGAGCCTCCACTGGTCCAGGGCGCTACGGAAGCTTTGAATTGGAGAAAGCGACCAAACATCTGCCCCCACAAGGGGACAAAGGAAACCCCTTTGATTGCGTGGTCATATCTAGTCAGGACGGCGTAAAGGGAAAACATGGAACATTGAGACTGGGCGCATGGGAAAGGGGAACATCAGCTTACAGAAACTTAAGAATCGGGACGTGGAGCCGTGCGGAACAGGTCTGGCGAACGAGGGCCCGCGCCCGGCACGTTCAGCTTGAAGACGGCCTGGCAATGCCAAGTCAAGGCCTTACCATCCTCCTGCAAAACTGGGGGCTCCTGTACGACCATTTTCCTCAAAGGGCAATACAAAAAAGTTGTTTTCAATGTTGGTGTGAGTGTTTTAGGCTAATTCTCGCCCTTGTGCGCAAATTCTAGCGACCTGCGGCTCAAACAGGACAACAGGAAGGCCCCTCGCACATGGATCCCTTTGAGGGATCCAGCGTCCGCTTCTGTGGCCCATCTGAACTGGTCCTCAAGGAGGGGTCTGTTTCACTTGGTGGGAGCCCAGTGTTTTTGATTTGGGTTGGTCGGTTTGGAGGTTCCCCTTATTTTGCATCTCAATCGGCACATTCACGCATTGCGTAAAAGCTGAACTGAATCTCTGGGGTGTCATGACGAGAATGGGAGTCCCTCTCAGTTGCACCGCCAAGCATCCGTGAGCATCTTTGGGTCCCAAAAGCAACCTCAGAGCCTGGAAGTGATCCGCTAGGTTCTTGGCAACCAGTATCAGTACAAAGGTACGATTTTGTGTTGCAAGAGGTTGCCGGTCAGAAGATTGGTTGTCCCGATCTTCTCCCCAAAACAACAGTGAGAGATCGCGAGTGTGTGGGAACGAGTACCTGTCAAAAGGGTATTCATTTTGTCACACCAAGGCAAACGCTGAAACAACCAGCACAAAAGATCGCAGCAAAGCGTCGATTTGTGACAAAGCTAATTTGCTTTTCGCATGAACCACAACCACACACATGCAGAAGCCTTCCCACACACCGACACATGCACCCATGCACACACCCACCCACCCACCCACCCACCCACCCACCCACCCACCCACCCACCCACCCACCCACCCACACACACACACACACACACACACACACACGCACACGCATCGGTGCCTTCCTTTACAGGGGTTTCACTCACCAAAATCCCTCAAGACATGCATCCACTTGTTGACCTCAAATCTCCTTGGCAAGTCCATCCGATTCCCATAGAGAGAATGGCGGGATCCGGATCCCTTGTCCTTATCCGTTGAGGAAAACGCGGGAACGAGTCTGAGCCCTGTGAAACGCCCCATCTGAGTTCCTCCGATCCGACGCGCCTGGCGTCTGGCCTCTCCCTGCTCGGAGTGCTCGGCCTGGCACTCACGGCGCTTTTGGGCGGAAAACGGAGGCGAGCCGAACTCCAGCTCCACGTTTTGCCTAGTTTTGTCTTCCCCTTAAGGGGGTGTCTTTGGGGTGGTGTGTCTGGGGAGTGGCGTGGTTTGAGACTTTTTTCCTTAGCCTCGAGTCTGTTCAGACGCAGCTGTCGCATGAACTAGAGACGCTAAAGTCGGGGCTGGGCCGACCCTTTAAGCATGCCCTTGTGTTTACACAACCCGCCTTTGATTTCCCTGAGGGCCGGGGTCTGATTGTTGCAACAACTCGTGGAAAACAAACCTGGGGTTCACCCAAAGGGGAAGGAGCACGGAGCAGAAACTGTACGATTTTATCACAACAAGGAACCCTTCGAAATGATAGGTGTTGCCTTGGACTGCCTTACAAGCCAACCCCAAACTCCGTATCCAATTTTGAGACACACACACACACACACGTAATGGCAGACAGTCACTCAATTGACATTCACTTCAACACACACACCTTGCAGGTGCGAGACGCAGATACTTTGGAGCGTCTTAAGGTCTCTAAACGGGCCTAATCTTTTGCCCTGTCATCTCTACCCTCAATGCAAGAGTGTGGACACACGGCCTGGGCAAGTCAACATCGCACAAGGCATGGGAGCCAGCAGCAGCGGGTACCCTCCTCCAAACAGCACCAGATCCTACGTCAGCAGAATCATCGAAAGTGGAAGCATCATGCAAGAGCTCATGACATGCTGCACAAGCACTTGCGCCTCCGTGTTCCAAAGGCCAAGAAGGCCATCAGCGGACGCAGTCGCCAAGTAGGACCTCAAAACGAATGAAGCGCTCCAACCCTTTGCAAGAGGATCTACCAATATGAGCATGAAGGGCTGGACCCTTTCATAAGCCTGTTCAAAAAGGGGAGCACAACTCCTTATGCGCCATCAAATAGTTGGCAACAACGACATGCTGCATTTCCCAGTTCCACTCCGCAAAAGTGTCGCAGCGTCAATGCGGAAGGGTGAACCGTTTCATTTGCATTGGCAGGGTGTGGGATACATACTCACCATGTGGTATCAAAATATGAGACTCACAAGTCCAGTCCGGCAGAAGGCAGGCGGCCACTGGTTATTGACACACGGGAAGAAGAAGTGAATTACATCACCTTAGCCTTCCGATCCCACCGCAGGGCCCCCCGGTCCAAATGGCCCTAACGGCCTCCCACAAAGCCACGAGCAGGATACCTGATGGAGCGCTGGAAGAAGAGAAATACAAGCCAGTGAAGACAGAACATGTGACGAGGCAGAAGGGCACCGTGATGCAGGAAAAGGCCCTTGTCTTCATGCCAGGCCGTGTAGATGCAGTAGACGCCCATGCTGAACGCTGCCATTGCACACATACGTATGAATAGCATGGTGTGGTCCTCTGGGCGCCTGTGGCAGAAAGCAGGGTACATGCTCACCGCTGCATGAGAGGCAGCGGCCATTGTCTTTTCTGGCTGGCTAGTTACTATGATGACAATGCGAGCGAACCACCGCGCCGTGCTCCTGCGCAAAAGCTGAATCCATCATCTTGCATGCCTCAAGCAAGCGTTGAGAATAAAACGAGAGGAAACGCAGGCTAGTCTAGAACTACAAATAGAGGTCTGTTTCGCGTATACGCTTCACTTGAACCAAACAATGATTGAATTGCCCCGTCCTTGCCTAGAAAAACAAGAGACGGGCTCCGGAGATATCCACGAATCAACTCGAATCACGTGCGGGCTACTTCTGGCCGGACCCGACCTCGAGTCACGAATCACGAATCACGAGCCGATCATCATTATATTATAGAGGGCGCGAATCACGAGTTGCGAATCACGAGCCTGTTTTGGGAAGTCTATACCAAAAACCCCATTAGCCGCCAAAACCAGAAACCCATAAACCTAAATCCTAAAACCAAAAGCCGAAATAATCCCTAAAGAAACCCGAAAAACCAACCCCAAAAAACCTCAGCCTGAAACTGGCCGGAAAGCCCTATCTCCGAAAAACCTTTAACCTAAATTCTACAAGAGCCCGGAAAACCCCAAACCCAAACCCTAAAACCTACTCCCAGCCCCTAAAAAGCCCACACCCAGACCCTGAAGACCCACAATACATACCGTAAACAACACCAAACCTAAACCCAAAATACCCTAAAACACGCGAAAAACGAAGAAAGACTAAACCTAAAATCCAAGCAAAGCTACACTTAAAGCTGAAAACCCAACAAATCCCTCAACCTTAACCCTGAAAACCCTAAACCTCAGCCCTGAAAACCCTATGCCTCAACCTGAAAAGCCCTAAAAGCCCCAAACCTACACTCTAAGAACCCAAACCTTAACCCATACCCTGAAAACTTAAACCTTAATTAACCCTGAAGAGCCTAAATCTAAACCCTGCAGACCCTAAACCTAAGCCCTGAAGACCCCTAACCTAAACCCTGAAGATCCTAAATTGACCTGAACCCGACAGACTCTAAACCTAATTCCAACCTACACCTAAACCCGGACACAGGCAACAGTCACTTTGCATTCTGCCGCCAGCGCTCAAGCAGCGCGCAGCTACTAGACACTAGAAACACCGACACCTGACACGTTGGCCGGAAATTCACGGGAGCAAGCCAAGAAGCGGGAGGCAGGGCTCCTTGATGCAGTTGCGCTGATCTTCCCCAATCGCGAGTCACGAACCACAAAGCACGAGCTAGGAGCCTTGTATTCAGGGCCCTGAATCACGAATCACGAATCGAGCGCGAAGAACCCTTCGGATCGGGACTGAAAAATCATATTTTCAAAAATGACCTCGTGTCAGATCACAAAGCCCCAAGCTACGCAGACCTCATACGCTCTAACCAACAATAATTACCATGGACGTTCCTGCACAAATTGTTGTGCAAGTTCATAATCATGGACCTGCTGCACAGTTCCATACTTCTACTTGAGCATGGAAGCCCCAAAATTCTGGCCTCATACTGGTATTGCCCAGGAAGAAAAAACCCTGTTAACACTCCCGAGTTGCATGCACACATGGAAGCGCACAGCACTACATCTCATTTATTCTTCCAAACTGCACTCTTCTGGCTTCGATTTTTTTTTCTAGAGCGCTCCATTGAACGTTCAAGAAGGCAGCCCCGCAACTGAGGCGACGAAGCTACCCAGCCTTGCGATTGTCCTGCATATCGGATTGCGTTCGCCCAAAAACAGAAAACAAAACAACTGATTTGCAGCTTGGAGCACCCAATCCACGTTGGGTTTTTCATGGTTACCCTTTAAAACCAGCCCTCAACCAGGAATCCCCACCCCCCCCCCTCCCCCAATCCAATCCCCCCCCCATTTGCGTGAAGTCGCCTCGTTTCGCTGGGATCCCGGACAGGTGGGGATGGTGCTCCAAGGCCCAAACCGCCTCGCGGCATGGCAGCTCCAGGCCTCGATCGAAATGGATGCTGCGGCCAGGTAAAAGTAAAGGGAAGCCCCCTATCTCGCTTGCTTTCTGCTCCCCTGCTAACAAGTTCAACTTTTAATGGTTTAATGGCAAACCCATTAGTTGGCAAAAAGTTGTTAAAGTCCTAACATCCAAGCAAAATGCACCTCTGATATTGGGTGCCTCCAACAAACACTCACCTGCCGATGGTTTAATCCTTGCAAATTCGCTTGTTTCTTTTCTCAGAACTCCCGAGTTTTGATCGCGAAGAGCATGGTGTTCCGAACAGCCCCGGACCAGCTAGGTTCCGATTGCAGAAAATACCACTGGGAAAAGAGGGGAGTGGATGTGGTTGACGAGAAACATGGCACAAAGGAACGCAATGATTGGCATACGTCGAGGGATTCAAAGGCGGCTTTTTGCGCTTTTCCAAGGCCGACAACCACTCACAAAGGGAAGTTTGGCATCCGCACGGTCAGGGGAAGTTCGACATTTCTACGTTGAGTTTGCTGTTCGAAGTGTTGCGCCTCGCGGCCGCTTCAGAGGGCTGGGCACTTTGGGCCCCCGTGTCTGGCCGGCCACCTTGCAGATTGAGGATAGATTTCGGGCCAACAGAGCTTCAAGGCCAACCAATGGGGACGACCAGTCTCCCAAGGCTCTCCGTGGCTAAGCTGATGGGTCATGTGACCATGCTGCAAATGTCTCCCCAAGCTCCACCCAAAGCCTCCACTTACGTCTTGGCCCATGGATCAGCCCAAAGCGAAAAACAACCAAAAAACTGTCCATGCCCCTCCCCAAAGCGACCAACCAAAACGAAACAAAAGGGAGTGGCTGCTGGCTGTTGGCTTGGGCCCTGACTGTCGCAGGCGCCATAGAGCAAACTCCAGGCACGGACCACAGAGTCCTGCGACATTGTCCTTTCATGGAGTTGCCCAGTCGACGGTGTTTTTTGCTGGAACTTTGGTTTTGGTCCGCAAGAAATATGTCACCCTTGTGAAAACGGGGGAAGGAACCAGGTCAAGTCAGTAATGTGCCAGTCACGTGAAAGCAGGAGAACATGAAACACACGCAAATGGAAAGCAACAACAAAAGTGTGCGGATTCGGCGGTGGGTCCTCGGGGAAGGCCCCCCTTGTTGGTAAAGTGAATCCAAAAGGAAACCTATCATTCCGGGGTCCCCTTGTGAGGCAAACCGAATGCTCAGGCGTGCAAGACATACAAGTCAGCTCCAAACTGGTGCAGGAGCATGTCACGGGTCTCAGGAGTGTCCGGGAAGCCCTTTGAAATTCTGAAGTAGTCAGTTTTCAGTGGGGATGATGACAATAAAAAAATGTCGAAGGATCTGTCAGGGAGTGTTGATCATTTGGGGGCAGCTTCGTGCTGAAACTGCATATGGGGAAGTCACAGTGCAAAGCAAAGGGCCTTTCCGTTTGCACCCCAGCGCGCTCAACCGTCTTGCACTGCTGATTACGCCTTCAGATCTGCACAGGATGCTGCGTCCCCAGACAAAGCACAGAATCAAGATTTGGTCAGCTCTTGTGTTTAGGGGAATGCGAAAGATTGAAATCGTTGCGGGACCACGCTTCCCTTGTGCCGCTTCTGAGAGGGCACAACTACAGCGGCCTCCTTGTCGTCCCCGCACTTAATCAAAAGATATTCGTAGAATTTCACATGTGGCCATGCTGGAATTTCTCGTGCTTCCATGAGTTGATCATGGCATTGGTTCAGAGCTCCCCGAACATCCGGTGGAGAAGTTGTATCACTAGAAGACCCCAACAAGCCGGGGTTCTATGGACAAAATCGTAAGCCACCAGTTGGAAAGCAAGGGCTTCATAGGTGGTGGTGATTTTGTTCATCAGTGGTCATCAGCGCCTCGAAACCAGAACGGCAAGTGGCTACACGTGAGGGTGAACATCCACGATGACCATGGGTTTCCAATGTTGAGGCATGGAGCTTGAACACATGTCTTCAACTGTTCATCAAACCCCACATGTGTCAGAGAAGCAGTTGTGCCAAAACCGGCACCCACACGTCTCTGAGCCAAACGGCTGTGGGTCAAAACCAATGGTACCATTTTGGGGTAGGTGCACCACCAATTTTAGACTGTTTTAGTGGGGATTGGAATGTTCACGGGGGGTACGACTTGGATTTTGACCCATGGCCAAATGGACAGAGCATGAGAGTTGCAACAAGTCGGGAAACATCACCACACGGCTGGGCTTCCGGGCCAGCCCCGCGCTGAAGAGCATGCGGTCCTCAGAGGAGCGCGCTGGGTGCATTTTCCTATCTTACTGGTGTTTAAGCGAGAATGGGGGAATACAAGGGTTTAGCAACGTGGGACTGACTCTCAGTCTCTCTGTTTTTTTTCTCTCTCTTTTTCTCTCTATCTTTATTTTTCTTTCTCTCTCTCTCTCTCTCTCTCTCTCTCTCTCTTTCTCTCTTCTCTCTGTGTCCCTGTGCCTGCCCCCCTTTCAACTCACTGTCATAAATACATACATCACACATGTGTGCCATAAAATCGGTAAACGTGCACATATACCAAATTAGATATCATACATAGAGATGCAAATAAATGTGTGAATACATGTGTGTTTATGTTTTTATATATTTATGATATGATATAGACTATATGCGTATACATGGTATCACATTCATATAAATATGGAGTTGTACACACAGATGTAGGTTGTGATGGGTCATTCCACCGGGTTAAACTTCAACATGGCTTCAATTTGCAGCTTTGAAGAAAACTCCATCAGCCCCCTAAAAAAACAAAAAAGAAACCAGACTCGCCTTGTCTCATCAAGCTTCTGACAGGTGCTGCCACACATGAGAGTCGTTGTTTTTGTGAGACTAGTCAGCCTCCACAAACATGTTGAAAACATCATATGTCAAACCTGTCATGTGGCCGCATTCGCTGACCTGTGACGGAACTGGAGACTTGTAAATTTGAAGGGCCAGCTTGTTTGTTTCCATGTCATGCTGAGGGTTGCTGGCCAGCAGCCCGAAACACACACACATGGCACGCACTGAGGGTTGAAATATGTTGTCTAATACAAGCATTTCTGTTAAGACCTGCTGACCAGCAGCCAGCTGAATAAGAAGCATTGTTTGTTACATGTCATGGACCAGCCAGTCAATTAAAGTGTTCAGCGAATCCATCCCTGTCTGTCAGAAGGGCCGTCGACACCAGGATCAAGGCAAGGGAAAACAAATTAGTAGACCACTGAACAAGTGGCTAGCCCTGCACAAGGGCACTTGTTTATGGTCGGATGGCAGGCTTGGGCGAAAATGGCAGGGCTGCTGAACAGCCCTGGCCAGGGGCGGTTGCCGACCAGCAGCCAGCAAGCGAAGCATGATACATGCGCTTAAGACTGCCCATGGTGCCAAACACATGTTTCAATTTCAAAACGTGCCGGCATGCATCCGTACCTTATTTGTGGTGGTTCATGGTATACCGACCAGCCAAGGTCAAGATTTGAAGGGCCACTTATTGATATTTTTGTCATGCTGGGGGTTGCTGGCCAGCAGCCCAAAAAAGCAAAACATGGCACGCGCTGAGGGCTGAAATTTGTGGCTGACAGCCATTCTTGTTAAGATCTGCTGACCAGCAGCCAGCTGAATAAGAAGCCTTCATTGTTTAATTCATGTCATGGACTAGCCAGTCAATTAAAGGTTTCCAGCGAATCCATCCCTGTCTGTCAGAAGGACCGTCGACACCATGATCAAGGCAAGGAAAACTAATCAGTAGACCACTGAACAAGTGGCACTTGTTTATGGGCGGGTCGGATGGCATCTCATGCCAGGTTTCATTTCAGGCTTGGGCAAAAGTCGCAGGGCTGCTGAACAGCAACCCTCCATTTGCTTAAGGATGTTGTTCCCTCATTTTTGGTTTTCAAGGGAATCCACCGCTACTGGAAATAGTGCATTTTTGCAGCGCGCTTTCGCAAACGGAGGCAACCCTGTGCCCATGAAAAAATGTGAGTGGCGGTTGCTGACCAGCAGCGACCAGCAGCCAGCAAGCAAAACATGATAAACACGTGCAAACATATCTTTCAAGTTCAATATGGCATCCATGCCGTACCTGTGATGGTTCAAGATCTGCTGACCAGCAGCCCTAGGCCACTTGTGGTTATCATGTCACGCTGAGTCGCTGAGGGCTGCTGACTGACCAGCAGTCCGAAACGAAAAGCAGCACATGGGGATAAATCTGCAACATTGTGGATGGTGGTCTACATGCAGTCCTGTTAAGATCTGTTTTGTTGTTACGTATCATGGGCCTGCCAGCAAGTTAACTATTGTCATGGGTGACAGGTCCTCGGCGAATCCATCCCTGTCTGTCAGAAGGGCCATGGACACCATGACCAAGGCAAGGGAAACTTATACTGAACGAGTGGCTAGCTTTGCGCAAGGGAACTTGTTTGGTGGTGGGTCGGATGGCATTTCACTCCAGGTTTCGGGCTTGGGCAAAAATGGCAAGGCACATGAGTATATGTCAGGGGGGTAAGCAAAACGTGACATAAACACAGCTTCGAAATTCAAAATGTGTGGTTGTGCATCCACGTGGTGATTCATTCATGTCAAGATCTGCTGACCAGCAGAGAAAACCAAGACTTGCAAACTTGAAGGGCAATGTTTCGCTGTTATGGCATGCGGCAGGTTGCTGACCAGCAGCCCGAAACACATGACACGCATGAACTTAGGGTTGAAGCCTTGTGGTAGCCCTGGCTCACCCGTCGTTGTTTTAACCAAGGAGCTTTGCGCGGCGGGCATGCTGCTGGCAGCTCTCCGTTCCTTGGACGCAGGGGGTGGGCGCCGTTTGTTTCCACAGCAAGCTAATGACATGAAATGAGCACACAGCGCTCTTTTGATCCGAAGAGTGGAAGATTCGCGCCGACCGCCATCTCAGAGTCACCTCCTAGCTCAGAAAGCGTTAAACAAATGGACAACTGCAAAACAAACAGTGACAGAATCCAGTCACGGCCGATGTCTCCTCCAACTCCGACGTGTCCAGGCGTCATCCTCATCGTCATAGTAGCCGCGGTGGCTGTCCTAACTTGCGCTTCTGGTCAGCAGCGCCACACACGTATAACGAAACGGTGGTTCAGACGCTCCTGCTTTCTTTTGTTGGCGGCCTTCGCCTGGGCCTCCTCCTCCTGCTTTTTCTTGGCTGTGGCCTTCGCTACTGCCTCCACAGCCTTTCTCTTGACCTCCTCCTTTCTTTTGGCCTGCCCCAGCCAATATCAGGAACATTTGGAAGCTGTGCTGACAAGTTCAAGCATGGTTTGCGCAAAGGGTAGAAATGACAAGCCACAAACATGACGCAGGGACGATTCCTGTTTTCCTCGCCACTATCTGCGGGCGCTAGATGAAGAGTTCAACGGACGTAACTTCGCCCTGAGCCCGGAGCTGGTGCTGGAGCTGCTGGTGTCGGAGCTGCTGGAGCTGCTGGAGTCAGACGCCTGCCTCTTCTCCTCGTTCTTCTTGATCAAGGCCTTCTCCTTCTCTATCTCCTTCTCCTTCTCCTTCAGCTCCTTGTCCTTCTGCGCAATCACGGCCTTGAACTCCTCAATGTGGTGGCTCAGGAAAGAGCACCTGCTCGAGAGGTTCCTGAGCTGCTGAGCCCCTGAGCCTGCGTCACGGCTCGCCAGCCGCAAGGCCTGCAATCTGCTCAGCTCAGCACGCGCCTTCACCAACTCCTGCTCCGCGCGCAGCTTCTCCTGCTCCGCATGGAACTTCTCCTGCTCCGCGTGCTCCTTCTCCTGATCCGCCCGCTCCTTCGCCAAGCTCTGCAGCACCGTCTCTGCTTTTTCAGCAGCCACCGCCATCTGCAACTCGCCCCTCCGCTTGCGCCGCTTCAGCTGGGACATGCTGTCCCCCAATCGCTTCCCCATGGTCCTGGTTCCTACTGATGATGATGATGATGATGATGATGATGATGATGATGATGATGATGATGATGATGATGATGATGCCGAGCTGTGTGGCTGTAAGCTGTTTTGAAGATGTTGTGACACTGACTGCGTTGTTTGGCAATTTGTGTGTCGCGATGCCAAGAGTCGGAGTAGTTTTTTGCTTGATGACCAAGATGGCAAGTGCACATGGTGTGATGTCGACTGATCTTGCATGGGCCGCTAATTGAAACCTTGAGTGCATGACGTCACACACAATCATGGTCACCAGGTGGCTGGTCAGCCACAGGTTGCTGGTCAGCAACAGGTTGCTGGTCAGCAACAGGTTGCTCGTCAGCAACAAGTTGCTTGTCAGCAACAGGTTGCTGGTCAGCAACAGGTTGCTTGTCAGCAGCAGGTAGCAACAAGCTGCTGATCAGCAGCTAGTTTGCCAATCAGTGACACCAGCCGGTTCGCGCCTCATCATCTTTTGCTGCTCTGTGGCTTTTGTCCTTCAAGCAAGGAATGCATGTTGATAGGATAGTCAATCCCGTTTCAAGCTGGCTCGAAACGCAACAAGGATGATCCAACGGACCAAACTTTAACCAACAAAGTGCAAATCCCTAGAAATGCCAAGACGCAGTCGGTCCTGAGCGCTTCCTGGCTCCTTTGGCCTCGCTTTGGCTGTGGTTGCTGGCGCCGCCGCTGCTTTGCTGCTGCTGCTTTCTGGCGCAGCTTTTGCTGGCGCCATCGCCGCAGCCTTTTCCACAGCAGGCGCTTCCTTTCGCTGGGCATGCTGCGCCCTGAGAGCGGCTTGCTCCTCTTGCTGGCGATGTGCCCAGGCTTGCGTTGCCGCCGCCGCTGCAGCCTGCTGTATCTGCGCATCTGCTGCTGCTGCTGTTGCTGCTTGGGCTTGTTGCAGCTGGATCATCTGTTGCTGCTGCAGCAACGTAGCCTCTGCCTGAGGCTGCTGCTGTTGCAGCAGGTGGTGGAATTGTTGCTGCTGCAACGCTGCAGCTGCATGTGCTTGCTGTTGAAGCAATGCTGCTGCTTCTGAAGCTGCATCTGCTTGCTGTAGCTGACGCAATGCTGCTTCGGCAGCAGCCTGCGCTTCTTGTTGCTTCCTCAGTGCTGCTGCTTGTGCTGCCGCTGCACGTTCCTCTTGCTGCTGCTGCTGCTGCTGCTGAATCATGGCTTGCTGATGCTGCTGCTGCTGCAGCTGCGAAGGCAGCTCTTGCTGCATCGTGTGGTGCAGCTGCTCCTGTGGGCATTGCGGCTGTTGGGGCTGGTGGCGCGGCGGTGGCTGATGCTGTTGGTGCAGCGGTGGCTGCGGTGGCTGTTGGTGCTGCTGCTGTGGGGGCTGT